GCCCTCACTTATTTCCTCTGTGACCTTTGTTCTTCACGCAGACATTCTTGCCCCATCTTCAGTGTCTTCCCTGTACTGTCTACAGTGGTATGCTGCTAAATTGGTTCTCTTGGGGAAAGAGAAAAAAAGATCCCAATGTGTAGCATTTGCCCATTTTCACGATGTAAATACTCCCACTGTGACTGATTTCATGATGCCACTAACGCTGGGAAGAAGTGTACGCAATCAGAGCCACACCACCAGCCAGCTCTTTTCTTAGAGTGGAAAGATATGCCCAGGTTCTCCCAATTCTAAAACAAACCAATCAAAAACAAATATTTTTTTAAAAAACCCTTCCTTGACCTATGGCCTCTTTCTTCTTTAGCTGCTCTCTGTTTTCTCTTTTTCTTTTCTAATCCTACTGTCTCAGAAGAGTAGTCTATACTTGCACTATTTCCTTATTCTGTCTGGCATTGGAAACCATGGAGAGTGAAGTTGAGGATGGTTATTGAGAAGGTATTCGTTTTCAGCGTTGCTGAAATTGGAATGAAGGGCATGTGGATTTATTCTCAATGATCACTGCAAAGAAGTTGGTCACTGGCCTGATGGACAGAGGACTCAGCTCATCTGGCTTGGAGTGCTTTTGCTCCAACAGCATTATGGATACCTCAGCTCTTTTTCTGATGTGTACTTCCCAGGTGGCTTGCCATCTGTCCAGTTAAGCTAATATTCAGAGAGTTGTCCTGATCCCCCCTGCACCCACCCCCCGCCACCGCTCATTAACTCTTGGATATTTATTTACTAAAATTGTATTCTAGGTTGGCCAGTTATCTCACTTGCTTACAGCACAACCTAATGACACCAAGGTCATAGGTTCAGATCCCTGTATTGGCCAGCTGCCAAAAAACCAAACAAAAAACCCGAGAAACAACAAACAAACCAAAAATTGTAGGCTTTTGCTATCGCTCTAGAAAAAGGTGTCTGCACCTCTTGCTTGAAATATTTCAGCGGTCTTCAAAGTGGTTTTCATGTCACTAGATTTTTTCCCCTAAGATCTGTCTTCCATATTGCCACTAGAACGATCTGTCTGATCAAGACTGACCATGCCACTAACATGTCTAAAATAATCCATGGGTGGGCTGGCCTGGTGGCGCACTGCTACAGTGCGCCGCTTGGGAGCGCGGCGGCGCTCCCGCTGAGGG